CGGAAATTGTGCATAAAAATCTGTTAATAATACGATATTCAGGGCAGATTGTAAGTAAGTCGGACTTTATTCGGGCTGGATAAAAGGAAGTCGGGCTTAGGTGGGTTATGGGTAACATTTTTAAGATAAACTTCGGGCTCAGGCTAAATACTCCTCAGGCCGGGTCGGTTGGATTTATAAAATTTCGCCCCGCGCAGATCTGCAATAATGCGCGGTCGGCTAGTAAAGAAATTCCCTCCATCTATGGAACAAGACAGTTTATTGCTGTGAAGATGGCTGTCTACTGGGTTATCGATGTAGTCTGTTAAAAGTTTACTAACGTTTCAGAGGTCCTTGTTACCTGTATTATCAAGGCTATGATATAAATCTAGAGGTCCATGTACACAAGTATGTATTAAACGTTGTCGAAACAATTTTATTTGGATTCGTATCGGTTTAACAGACGAATAGATCCTATTTTATGAAAGCCAATTCGAATTTTAATAATTTTTCTTTAATGTGTATAAACCACAAAGAACTTGCACATGATATGAAATATAGCAGATTTCATTAGGATCTGTAACTTTATTCTCAAATATTTCACATGAATTAAGATTTGAGGTTTGCATAGATGAAGCTGTCGATGTTAGTTTTCTGGATTTTATCGCCGAGAGGAACGTACGGTCTCCATTTTAGTCATGAAGATGAGGGCCGTATGTTTTTACACAATATCTACCTACAAGGTCACCTACAACGCAGAAGACAAGCATCGTCACCTCCGTGATCACCTGAAATTACGTAATGCTGATGCTGATGGCAGTAGATCGATGCTGTCTCGGACGCAAATGGGAGGGGATAGCGAATGTTGCTTCTTGTGACGATACTTATTCAGATATAATTCAAGGAGAACGAGTGGAAAATGACAAACAAACACGTTTTTCCGCCTGTATACTAGTGGAAGTTACTTAGGAATTTCAAAAAGGACAAAATGGCATTGTCACCAAATGGTCGCCTGGCAGCAGCTTTGTCTACGACTTGCGACTTCTGAAGACTTGGGACAAGTGACTTCTCAAGACTTGGGACAAGTGACTTCTCAAGACTTGGGACAAGTGACTTCTCACGACTTGGGTCATGCTATTTCTCAAGACTTGGGACAAGTGACTTTTCAAGACTTGGGACAAGTGACTTCTGAAGACTTGGGACATGTGACTTCTCACGACTCGGGACATGCGCCCTCTCAAGATTTGGGACATGTAACTTCTCAATACTTGGGACATGTGACTTCTCACGACTTGGGACATGCGACTTCTTAATACTTGGGACATGTTACTTCTCACGACTTGGGACAGGCGACTTCTCAAGACTTGGTATATGTGACTTCTCAAGACTTGGGACATGCGACTTCTCAAGACATGAGACATGTTACTTCTCACTTTGCCCCCTTTCGGCCCACCTTTACAGCCGCAACTCCCTATTATTCCGGGCCGGTCTGGCAATGCTCTTCACAAGCCGACCCGCCCTGCCATGCCAGGAATGTGTGTACCTGCTGTCCTGACTTGCTGTGCGGGATTTCATCATCCCAAACTCTGTATTCTTCTTAATAAAAAGAGTGAGCACACAATGGGCTCCAGCAAGAAATTAAAATCTGCATAAAATGTAATAAAGAAGAAGTACTCTTTATTGCAATCACTAACTCTGAACCTGAAATTCAAATAGACGGGCTAAATTCCATTTGAAAGTTGGCACTGTTCTTCCCTGCCATTGGTAGCATTGCGTACTGATAGTTTTTAAGATGCTAATAAACTGTAACTTTCGAGTACCGTATACATTTGTTTCGATTATCACAAACACGGAAAGCAAGAAAGTACTTCTAAGAGGAATTTTTGCTGTCAATAAAATGAAGAATCTGACTTCTGTTGAAGTACTTGAGATTATAAAAGAAATTCTACTAAAAGGTTATTATCAATAACACTTCTAGGTTAGGAACATCTGTTTTCTTATGTTATTAAATGCTAAGATATTGTTTTTAGCCTGCACTATTAACCGTGATATTCTGTCACGAAAATTCCTTTCACGTATAGTGATGTATGCTTATGGGCCATGGAACCGACTATCACTTATGGAAATGTTTTCCTTTGTGAGGTGAGTTTACGTCATAAGTTCAACAAATGAATACGATGCAGTAATACTGAGATAGGACGAAAGTAACCAGTTGGGCTACCACATTTTTACATTAAGTTTGGTTTAGTTATTTAACTTGGTCCATTTGATTCGTTACTTTTGGTGTTTTTAGATCAGAAACATTTTCATATTGCCAGGAATGCTGATAGGTGGTGGCAGCCCTTCCCATCCCCAACGATTTGGCCATCAGATGGGTATTGAGTATCTACATATTAGGTGGCATGTTCATGATTTTCTCTTCTCTGAGAGGTCAAGACTACATTTGTGACTCACCCAGAATATTAATCAATGGATTCCAGCGACTCTTTCCTTAGACTGTTTGGAGACTTACCTACACTCCCAAAATAATTTTATAACATAGTACTTGCATATAACATCATTGCTGCTAGCCTTTGTTTAAGTACAATGTGATTATCCTCACAAATTTTATAACACTTCATTTTAATTTCTGCTTGTTGCACAGCAATGTGTATCAGTCTACCTACAGTTTTATTTACTTAAGGTATGGAAACATCATCTGGAAAGAATGAAGTTTGATGCACAGACCCTGGGGTCATGTAACTACTGACTGGATTAGACTTTCTATATGAAATACAGTAGACAGTACTGTGCATTTGTTATTCCTTGATTGTGAAGGATAGGCTTACATTATTTGAAATGTAAAGCCTTATTCTAACCCAAGTGTCAGGTGGACACAAAGAATGCAACTTAATAAATGGTTCATTGAAATTTATTCAGTTACTCTTTATTTTGTTTATTTCTCAGGTATAAAGCCAAAAATTAATCCTGCATCTCTGAAAGTTGGGCATGGAGGAACACTGGATCATACAGCAACAGGAATTTTAGGTACTGAACCAAGCAAAACAGATCGATGAATCTGTAAAAGCTGTTTGTGAAATGCAAACTTTTGCATATGCGAGTTTGCTCTTATGCAATTTCATTCCTGGCGCTTTAAACTTTCAAAGGACTAATTTAATCTCTGCGGAGGTACCGGGTTTACGTTTACTACGCGATTTTCTATAGGTCGGCGTCTTACATGAATGCAACTATCGCATAACAGCAGAGATGACTGTACACATCAATCGCGGGGACCAACAAATTGCCGATTGTAAGTGTATAAAATATATTTTTTAAATTCCCTTTATTTTATTTACGTTATTTCAGAGCTTTAAATGTAATGCCATTATATTACTCGTCAATGTTTGGGTGCTGGAAACGCGTGTCATTGACTTCCCATTGATTTACATTATAAAAGAGTTTCAATTTACGCCGGTTCCGTTTACGCCGGTTCGTCCAGGAACACATCCCTGGCGTAAATCGAGGGCTACCTGTACAAAGAAACCTTATATCGTCCTCTGGGTTGTATTGCCGTCTAGTCTGGTTGAAGTTTACCGACGTGCTAGAGGAATTTGCTACCTCCATAATCAGGTTGATGCTAATCTGTGAACTTGTACCAGATTACATGGTGCTACAAAGCAGAATACAGCCATATTAATGATTCTACTTGGTGTAGGCCTGAAACCAATCTTGGTCACTGCTCAGCCAGCCGTACATTTTATTTTATTCACAGAATGTTTGTTTCAAGGCCTATGAGTTAGCTGCAAAATGTACGTGAAATAAAGCAACGTTGTCTGTCCGTCAATTTGTTGGCGTCCTTAACCTCTAAAACTACTCGACCGATTTCGGAAGATTTTGTGATACAGGTCTGCATTAAAGCTCAATATAAAGACCATACTGGGATACTGGGAACGAGCCGTTCTTCAAGTGCCTGAGCACCGGGTCCCAACTTTTCGTTGGCTTGATCTGTAGACATTTGGTAGGACTCCTTGGACGAGGGATCGGCCCGTCGCAAGGCCTCTACCTGTACACAGGACAACATCCATGGCTTGAGTGGGATTCGAACCCACGGTCCCAGCGACCAAGCGACACAAGGCCCACGCCTCAGACCGCGCGGGCACCTGTGACCCCATAAAGATAATTGGTGGGCTTTTATAAAATGGTATTGAATCTTCGGGTTCTATAAAAGATGAAGAACGGCTGAGCGAAATATAATGTTGCTTTACTTTCACGCGAGTTTTTTATCTACTTCCTAACATGTTCGCAAAGTAGGGCCACTTTTCTACGCTGCACATCTAGTTCCTTTTGCGTATACAACTATGATTTATTAATTCAGGAAGTGGCACGCAGACTTGTTGAACCGGATCTGTCGGCAAAACATATTAACGTGTTCTGGCGTCATTTGAATGCATGTGTTCTGTCTGTGGGACTTGTTTTCACGCCAATTCGCCGACACGTCAGCGCCATTTTCTAGTGTTAAATAAGCATGGAGTTATTAACCTCGTAGATCCAGCTACAGAAGTTACTGAAAACTGTCAGATTGGGGAACTAATAATTACATTGAAAGTCCTCCTTGACAGGCTAATAATCCGAAAGTTTGTCTAGAACTTCCTCGCCTTTTTTGGGAACTTAAAGTTTATTACAGTATCCACAAGAGCCCAGCACTTGAACCTTATCCTGAACCAGTTTAATCCAGTCCAAGCCCTGTTCCAAGACATTCTTTAATATTATCCTTCCAGGTACGTCTTGGTCTCCCAAGTGCTTCTTTCTATAAGCTAAGAAGTTATTTGTAAGATAGGAAAATAATCGTTAATAATAATGTATTTAAATTAGAGAAGAAATTTTTCCGTATAATGAAATCTTCTCGGGCTACCAGCCGTGTCAGGTGACTGAAAGGCAAAAACGCCAAAGTTTCGATAACCATCCTCGTCCTCGTCCTCAGGGTACTGAAAACTTCAGTTGGTGTTTTCGCCTTTCGATCACCTGAGACAGCTGGTAGCCGAAATTAGTTCATTATACTTGGTCGCCGTGAGAGGTTAATAAGATCATAAAACCTTTTCCGTCTTAACTTCAAGGTTTGTGCTCCTGGCAGTTTGTTATAACATGGATACATTTGAATAAAAACTTGGCAAGCATAATCATTTTTCCTTTCTTCATACTCACGACATTGCATTGTCTAGACTGTTATATCACGGTATGAGCAGATAGCATCTCATTTGCGCAATGTATTTTTATAACGAATTTGTTGGGATTCTTATTTTGTCTGTTTTATTTGCTGATTCCCCATTATACTTGCCATTGTGAGTGTCTTTATTTCCTTGGTAACTAGACCTACTTTCACTCACCGCTAACTTTCTTGCGACAGTTTTTTTAACAGCAAAGCAATTACTTGTGATATAAATGCTAAAGTGATACAAGTCTTAAGAAAAACAGCACCAAGGAAATGTGTAATTTTAATGCGTTAATGTCTGCGATAGATGAGATATTTCTTATCTACATAGTGCATTCTAGGACCTGATATTTCACCTAGATACTTTATTGTTGGTTCGGCTTCATTACTGTACAGCCTCTGAAGAATGTCCCTTCACCCACAGATTGTTTGTCGAGTCATGATGAATGAAGGTGGTGAAAAACGAAATGCTTCTGGGATCGGACAAGTAAGTCTGACGTACGTAACAACGTAAGACATTTCCGCAGTCAGGGACAGTGACTGTGCAATAACACATTCTCACTCATTCTCCGTTGATGACCACTCAAAAGTGAACCGCACTGTGGATAACACAAGTGCTTTATCACACCCCAGATTTGTCGGGTATCTTCCCATCGGGTTTTCTCAACTAAATTTTATATGAATTTGTCATCTTCCACGTACGTGCTACATGTCACGACCACCTCATCCTACTCTGTTTGCTCGCCCTGATAACACATGGCGAGTATTAAAAACTCATTACCGGTATGCAATTTTCTTCATTTTCCTATTACTTGCTCCTTCTTTAACATAACATAACATAACATAACTAACTAGATGGCTTACCGAACCCGAAGGTTCATCACCGGACCCTGTCCTGGGCCAACAAAATCCAGTCTCCTTCAACTCTTATCTCCCATAGATCCCGCCTGACATTATCCTCCCATCTACGTCTAGGTCTCCCCAGCGGTCTCTTCCCCTCAGGCTTCCCAACCAATACCCAGTCTTTAACATAACATAATAATATAAATATAAATAATAACAACAATGTATTTTTCCTCTAGCCTCTGGGGCTCGCCCGGACTCCTATCCAATGGGTACCGGAGTCCCTTCCCCGGGGGTAAAGCGAGGCCGGGGCGTGACGCTGACCACTCACCCCTATCTAGTGCTGAGGTTAAGAACGAATAGGAACTGTAGTACCTCTCCCCCAAGCGCCTACGTGGCGTGTAGCTGGACAGATTTACTTTTTTACTGTAACAATAACATAGCACCATTACAAAATCTTTATTTAAAACGTAGCAGTCGTTTTTAGACTGTAATACTACGGTTATTAACAACCCACCTTTCTTCCTTTATCCACATAAAAATATCCTCAATTAAACTGCGATTATCTCATTAGCACAAAATCATATACATCACTGAACGAGGAACGTTTTGATTTAAAAATAATTATTGGTTTTATAATTCTGTAACTGAGTTGATGCAGCACTCAGGATCATCTTGGCTTATTTCGTGACGACTTCTTACTTCTCCAACGTTTTCAAAAGTTAACTGTCAGTGTTACATGGTTTAAATTTACCTCCGGAGGAACCAAGGTCACATAACGTAATATGCATCATAAATGACGACTGGTAGAAACAAATGAAATTATTTAAATATAAACCCACTGTCTTGCTACTTTGTTACAACAATCACAGAGGATGTTTTATTCAGACGGGCCTCGTGCTTCAGAGGGTTAAGGGAAACTAATCTGCGCTGTTATGAAATGGCCTGTGGTCATGGCTCCTTGCACTTGGAACAAAACACGTCTGTTAAAAGGCACCTGGCTGACTTTCCAAAGCTGAACCGAATACTTTCATGTCTGTCCCAGACAGCAAGCGACGTTGAATACGTGTCTTGATTCTGCAGTAATTTTGTAACTCCATGGCATAGGATGGTTCTGCAGCAGCTGATTGTCGTTTAGCTGATCAAAAATTCGTCACCTGGGTTAGAATCCGAAAGTTTATCAGTGTGATCACAAAATCCGGGCATGTGACACTAACTCGAGTTGGTTCAAATGTTTGTAAACTTTATTCAGTAAGAAGGTTGTAGCGCCGCGCAGTCTAGTAGAAGTTCACAAACGTTCTAGAGGTCCTTGCTGCCTCCATCATCCGGACAATTTTATACTTATCGCCCTGATGATGGAGGCACCAATATCTTTGAAACGTTTGTCAGACTCCATCTTCATTCAATAATATCCTCGTATTGTTTCAGTTTATCACACGCGTCGTGATTTAATCACCTTAATTTTAGTAAATTTTATTAGGGTAATGAAATAATTTGGGACGAGTTTGGCTGAACATGTAACACTCATAATGGACATTAGAATTGTATGCAAAGTTTTAGTAGGAAACCCCGAAGAGAAGATGACACTTGAGAGACAAAGGTGTAGATGAAAAAATTATATTAATATCTTAAAGACGTAATATGAAAAGGCTTGACTGGATTCGTCTGACTCAGAATATGGTCCAATGATAAGCTTGCATGAGCATGGCAACAAGTGAGTTCTATAAGGGGCAGGGCGTTTATTAACCAACTGAACTACTGTCAGCTTCTGAATAAGTATTTTGGTCTGGGGAGTTTCTTAATATTGATATCAATCTACATATTTCTATTCTTAACACATTAAAATCTCGTTTTGTAAAAACGGCTAATATTTATGGATTACAATTAACGTTTGATGACAAACGCTTGCCACTCATTAAGTTCGTGTAGTGAAATAGTTTCTTGGCACGGCAAGATCGATTTGTTTACCTTTATCATTACGAACCACATAACTTTCTAGTTTTCTAGCTTTAATGGACACGTGGATCATTTTATTATAAAGGTAAGGCTTTAATATAATCAGATTAAGTAAAATAAATACATACTCCCAAGTTACTTTTGGCTACTTAAGTGTGTCATATAACCAGATAATTTATTATTGGTATAAATATTTTGCTGGAAAGATAATCACACTGTGTAGTTAGACTTTCTAGACTAGACTATGTGTGGTCATCTCAAGAACTTTAAAAGGAAAAAATTATGAAAGATACATATTTAAAATTTTATAAGTTTATGGCGATCCCATTGCTTTTATATGGCATCAAAACATGGACGTTGAAGAAGAGAGACTGGAATAAAATTCAAGCATCAGAAATTAAATACCTAAGAACTGTCAAATTTTGTATAAGTACAGATCAATTTCGAAATGAGGACATACGAAAAAAGTTGGATAATTTACCTTTATTTGAAAAAAATACAGAATATAGATGTAAATGGAAAATACGTTTGCTAAAGATGGAACAAAGCGTATCCTATTAAAAGCCTGTAACTACTGTCCGTCTGGCAGACGAGACATAGGAAGACCAAGAACAAGATGAAAGGAGACGTCAAAAGTTAGAGGCCGGAACAGGCGACTTGCCTAATCCATGAAGGGAAGATGACGATAAAAACTAAGATGGGAGGACGTGCACTGGCTTCATCTGACACAAGACAGGGGCCGGTGACGGACTCTTTTTAACACTGCTACAAAGCTTCGGGTCCCATAAAAGACATGGCGTTCCCTGACAATCTGAACGATTATTAGCTTTTCAAGGGCTCTGCTGCATTCAGTTAATTGGGCCTTAATTCTCGGTAACACACTAATTATGTAGAGTTCGTTATATAATTAATATCGAAGCTACAATAGAAATGGTCCGTGTCTTAATTAAGTATTACATGTGTAACACAGACGTCGTTAAGAAATGTATCAGATGGGTTAAAGTGTATTGGATTAACTATAATTCGTGTTATGACGCCCGCAGGTAGTTACGTATTATGGATTCTGCAAACAGTGAGGTGGCAGAATTCTTCCGGGGCCGCTCCGTCCTGGTGACGGGTGCCTCCGGCTTCATGGGCAAGGTGCTACTGGAGAAGCTGCTCTACTCTTGTCCTGATCTGCGCGCCATCTACATTCTGTTGCGCACAAAACGCTACAAGACACCGGAAGTGCGCACAGAGGAGATGCTAAAGATTCCGGTAATAATTTTATTGGTTTTCTGTCCAGAGGTCAGCTAAGTTGACTGAGGATTTACGTGGTTCTTCTATGTTTCTCCAAGTAAGTGACTATAGACTATAGACTCTTACGCTTCCTGCCACATACGTTTGAATCTATCATCCACGAATTACAATATCACTCAACGTTTAACAGACATTGTCACAGTGAGTCTGTTAAATAAACTACAGGTAAAAACTGTTAAGTACTTTGACCTAAGAGGTATCGATTCACTGGAGGTGTAGCTTGGATGGATGGAGAATCTCAAATTTGGCTTTCGGGTGACAACCGCGTCGAATATTAGGTGTTAACCAACGTTTCGGCAAAATTGCAGTTGCCTTTTTCCAGTTGGGTATGAGGTGGGGCCAGTTCTGAAGGCTTTATATAGGGCAGGTAAGACAAACTTGATGTTGCTGGGTGTTGTCACCCGAAAGCCGAAATTATACACCAGCCGCAAAAATCTACGCACAAGAATTACTCGTATAAGAATTATCTTAGGAACATTCTAGAAAACCGACGTGCAGAAGACCTTAAGGAAGATGGGAATGTTATAGAGTTGGTCTATGACTACAGAAATCTGCTCTGGATGTCCAATGGCGTTGTTTCGGTATTAGCATTCAGCGATGTTAAACCTTCGGGTTCTTCTGCCAGTTACCTGGAGGTTCAATCGCACTAGTCAGTGCTTGGATGTTGAAGATCTGTGAATGTTACGGATCTGGAGATTTTAAGATGCCTTCCATGTTGCCTGAGGAACAGAGACCAACCATTAAGGCTTTGACCGGGATGTTCTTTTGTTAAATCTTATGTGGTACCGCCTGATTCGACTTCTAATGGTTAAGTGAAGTGTTTTCTTCGCGGTAAGGTCTGGATTCGTAAATATTATGAAGACGAGCTTCGGCTTCAAAGGGTTAACCAGCTGATTTTCGTAATGGTGAGGTGTAGTGTTTTCTTCGCGGTACGGACTGAATTTATAAATAATATTCAGACGATCTTCGGCTTCAAAGGGTTAAGGGACTTGGACATCCATTTCTTCTTGATTTCCATCCAGAGACCGCGCTGTTTAGCTCTCTAAAATACGAATAAAGAGAGCGAAAGTTAGGTAGACGGAGGAAGAGTGGCGATACAGAAAAAAGTGTATACAATACCACTTACTTTTGGTTTTTGTGTTTACGGCTAAAGCAGGAGGCATAAGAAGTTACCATTGTTATTTACTGTACCAGACTACGTCTGATCGGGTTTCACAATTTGCTTACCCGCCTAAGTGTCTTATGTATACTTACGAATGTTTACAGAAGATCATGCGGATTATTAGTTTGGGGATTTTCCCTTCTAACGCGCACTAAACACTCGCCGGTTTAACGTAAGGTTTCTAGGTACCTATTGGTGCAATTTTGCTAGACCGTTAAATCCATTGGAATACTGAGAGAAAAAGAGATGATTTCTACAGACTTGAAAAGTCATTTTGTTTCCTGTGCTCCGTCGGCAGCATTTCGAAACGTCGCGTGTCTTTGCTTCAGTATTAAATATTAATAACATGATTTTCACAACACGCAAAAAATTTAACCATAACGGAAAGGTCGTGTCTTTCGGTTCGTCTGTAAAGTTCAAAGAGAAAACTGTCCCTGGTGCTTAATAAAGCAAAAGGCCTTCATACGGAGAGTGGGACTTAGCTCCGCGCATTCTTAACCTCTGCACTAGGTGGAGATGAGTGGCTAGCTTCAGGCCACCCTACGCAAGAGGAAAGGACCGACTGAACACGAGGTTGGGTGTGCCCCAGAACCGGTCTGGACGCTGTGGCAAAGAGTAGAATCCTGTCCACCCAGGAATCGAACCCGGTCGTCGAGTCAGTAACCTAATCAGTATCCCGATTCAACTATTGCTACGAATCAAAATCACGATTCTGAGAAAAAATTCGGTGTTTTTACCCACAAAATTTTATTATGGAAATCATCCCAGTACAGGCCTAACTTCTGTGATTTGAAGTAATGTTTTAATATTTTTTTTACAAAAATGGCTTCTGTATTACAAATTGGTACGTCTACACGACAAAATTATCTAAGATCTATAAGTTTTAGGAATTGTTTTGACATGTAATTTAGTATAAACTAACGATCATGTATTTTATGCAACACCTCACATGTTGGCTGGATTTCTAGCCTTAATTTCACCCAGAAATGTGCAGTACAGTGTAAATAAAATGACATTAAATAATAAAATTTTAAAAATGTATATACTTTTTAAATTGCTGTAATAACTGTCTAAGACTTTATTTTTTGATGGATGTCTTGGATCTGAAATGTTTAATGAAATACAAGGGCAAGTTAACGTATCCGTCTGTTGCTAAATGACTTTGTCAAAAGTAAAATTCCCTGTTGCAAATAATTCAATACCAAATAATATAAGACGAAACGAACTGATTTTATCCTGCAATTAATGATCACAAAGACGGTAGAAAATCCCAAATTCACATATAAAAATTGGCAAACTGTTAGTACAAAGTTCGTGCTTGAAGCGAATTTTTTTATTGTTGTAATACAAATAAATGTGTATGAAGGTGAAAGTTTGGTTCCTCGTCGATTATTTTAAAATAAGTTATTATTAAAATAGAGATAGAACTGCCGCCAGATGATGTGAACACAGCAAAACCGATGCATCCAAGAACCAGGTAAAATTGTAACCCTAGATACAGGCATTGTGGTTGCCCAATACCACGCCTCCTTTAGACTCACCGGGGAGAAATACAAATGGCAGAATGACCTAAATGCGCGTTTCGCCTGCATCAGCAACTTGTGGGTTGAAGGAAAACGCGTGTACTGTGTAATACAAAGAAAGACGTTACCGCAGTTGGTATCGTTCAAATCCTGTTTACATAATAAATCGGATAATAGAATTCCTTGTGAAGATGGTTGTCTTCTGGGTTGTTGCGCCGTGTAGTCTGGTCGATGTTTACCAACGTTTCAGAGGTCATACTGCCTCCATCATCAGGGCGATGAGTATGAAGATTTCTGTCCTTCTGGGTTGTTGCGCTGTGTAGTCGGGTCGATGTTTACCAACGTTTCAGAGGTCATACTGCCTCCGTCATCAGAGTATGAAGATTTCTGTCTTCTGGGTTGTTGCGCTGCGTAGTCTGGTCGATGTTTACCAACGTTTCAGAGGTCATACTGCCTCCGTCATCAGAGTATGAAGATTTCTGTCTTCTGGGTTGTTGCGCTGCGTAGTCTGGTCGATGTTTACCAACGTTTCAGAGGTCATACTGCGTCCATCATCAGGGCGATGAGTGACTTGTCGAAGACAGCCATCTTCAGACTTTAAGCCGTGAAAATCTCAAGTCCTACAAAATTTCTTGTGGTTTTCTTTTAGTTGTTCAACCGTTTGCGGAAGGAAAAGCCAGGTGCACTACAGAAATTGTTGCCTATACATGGAGACCTGACAGAAGAGGAGCTGGGTTTGAGTTCTGAAAATAAAGCAAAACTCCAAGAGGATGTGTCTGTAGTGTTCCATTGTGGTGCTACTTTGCGGTTGGAAGCGAAACTGAAGGATGCTATCGAAATGAATACAACGGGCACTTGGAGGATTCTTCAGCTGGCCCGCGGTATGAAGGAACTCAAGGTATGTCACCTTCATGTGCTAAACGACGTTGTATGCACTTATGCAGATTTTTGTTTGCTATATTTTACGATTGTTTGTTAGGCGAGGGTATTATGCAGTTAATTTGCTTTAATGGTTTATTTAAAGACGCTGTTTTATCAAGGTAAATAATGAAAAATTATTTTGTTGTGCAGTTGTTTATTTAACTACAGTGTACCAAATTCTTTGTTTTGTGTAGCGTTGCTGAGAAATAGTAGAATGTTCATTGATGACTAATTGGCGGATATTTAGTTGGAGTCAGTATTTGTTTAAATAATTTTCTGCAAGAAAACCGAGACATGTTTTGGTCAAGGCACTTAGCGTCAGGCTCGGATTTGAATCGCGTACCTGTAGAATAATGGTCAGGCGCGTTGAAGTGAATAATGTATGCGTAAATATGTCGTTTGTGAATGACTATTTCACAAGAAATCTTTGTTCATATGGGAAAGTTCCCAAGACAGACAAATTGTTTGCTTTCAGAAACACTTTTACTAATGTGTTCTGTTTTCGACGAATCGACTAGCTGGGAATTTCTGCTGTATAATATAGTCGAATTTTTTTAATATGAAGTTGCAAGGAACTCGTCGTTACAAAGAAATCTTTCGTTCACAAATATTTTGAAACTTAAATATTTGTTAACCTTTAGTTTGTACATGTCTTCTCATTTTCACGGCCAACTATACAAATATCCCGTATATTTGTCTCATTTTACATAAAATATATCAATAGATAGATAACAGTACATTTTTTTCGTTCAAACATTTCATCTCCGCAATAATTCGATCTGCTTTCTTTTGCACGGTAAACAGGCAGAACAGGCTGTTCTCCATTGCTTCATGTTTACGCGGGTGATTCACATGATTTATCACCATCCCAGCTTTACCATAAATGATTTTGCCCTTCTTTTCAACCTTTAGTGCCAGAAAAATTAACTCTCACCCCCCTCGCAGCAAAAGTAGTGTATCTCACTGCTATATTCTCTCTCTCTCTCTCTCTCCTTCTTTTTTTGCTTCAAATCGTTAACGGTAAAACGTTACACGTAATAGAAAGTGATTTGAAGGCTCTGAAAATCAAGTCTTTGAGTCCAGCAGCGAGCAACCGCGGACACGTATCGTGACTTCCAGGGCGATTTTACCGGAAGATAGTTTCGTCACACGGGCACCACACCGTGGCGCAGTCAGTTGTCACAGTGACCCCAAAAAATTGCGACATGCGATACCACAAAGCCCTGCATCATGGAACGAAGAACGATCAGTTCGGTAGAATTCGGTGAAGGGAAATAGATCTTCGCAGGTCTGCACAGACAAAAAGTACAATACTTGCTCGGTCCGAGGACCATTTGGCCAATCACAGCCCAAGACTGAAATTTATCTTCGAATAGTTTACTTGTAACCCACCTAAGCCCGATTTTCTTTTATTCCAGCCCGAATGTAGCCCGATCTATTTACTATCTGCCCTGATTATCGTGTCTTTAATACATTTTTTAATGCACAGATGCCAGTCATTTGTGAATTAATTATTTAACGATGCTCTAAGAACATCTGAGATTATTTTGGCGTTTGAGCAACTGTGAAGAGATTTTGGATGCCAAGTTTGTAAGGTGTTGCATCGAGCTATTTCTGAGATGGGGGGGGGGGGGGCAGTTACAAAAATCCCCGAAAATATCAAGTCGGTCGGATTTGTTTCCTGAACTCTAAATTGTCACAAACAAGAACTTTTTCTTTGCAAAAACGAATGGCCAGGGAAAGCTCAAAATTTTGTGGATAACATTGGATTGCTGTAATTTGAAAAAGGTCGTAATCCGGCCAAGATCTGGGCATTATCTGTGTCACCAGACACACACACAGGTACAGGATTTTAAATAAGATTGAAATGTTTCTACAAATTGTAGTAAAACTCACCTTATTTACACATTCTCGAATTGTTTGAAGTGTAAGGACAGACAGACTGACTGACGGAAGGTGCGATTTTAATAGGCGCTGTGAATTTTGCCAGAAGCCAGAGAAAGGCGAACGCAGTCCACATTTTTAAGACGAATTTCTCTTGGCTCCAGTTCATGGTCACAGAATAACCAAACTTGAACTTCCAGTTAGAAAATAACGAGCTAAATATTCGCCCAATCAAAACATTGAATTTTGTTACATTAGATAATAACTAGGCCGTTATCTTGTACCACCTCTGGACTTGCCGGCCTGATTTCGTTTAGTCGAACAAATTACTTTCTCTCTCTTCCGTACTTTTCAAAATACCGTTCGGCTGTTTAGTTCGACCAATTAGGATTATTGCTGCCTATATGTAGTCCATGGAGTTTCCAAACGCGTTTATAGTGTCGTTCCAAGCTTTTGAGGAACTAGTTCGTTTATTTTTCCCAAAGTACCTGTCCGTCACACGGGATTTCAACTTTTTTGTAATAATTACTTGTATATATTGCTTATCTCTTGCATCACACATATTTAACCAACTCTTACTTTAGGCTTACAAGTACGTACTATATATATTGGAATGGGCTTAATCTTACACATTATATATATATATATATATATATATATATGGATAGATAGATAAAAAATATAAACATTAATTGGACACTTAAGCATTTTAACTGACATAGATTGCACCACAAGGAAAAGACTTAAATATTTTTTCTATGTGTTAAATCCATATTCATGAAAGAAAGGGTGTGACGTCACGTATCTTTTCTCTTATTACTGCCTCATGGCTTGTAAACATCAGATAGACCGCTTTTTGCATTAAATCCTATATGGTCGCCTAGTAACGAAACAACAGTAGGCATGCCCTTTTTACTTTCAAGGACCTCTGAAATAATGGTAAACTTCTACAACCTAGAATACAGCCATCTTCAGACTCACCGCCGTGAAAATCTCAGATTCTACGCAGAACGTTTTGTGTTCTCAGGCTTTTGTGCATTTGTCCACTGCGTTCTGCCACTGTGACCTGGAAGAATTGGAAGAGAAGATTTATGATTCGCCGGTGGATCCTCATGACGTCATGAGGTGCGTCCAGTGGATGGACGAGACAGCTCTAAATTTGGTATCTGACAGGTAAGCCCAGTTCCTGCATCCAGCAGTTAACAAAATGCAAGGTATAGTGACCAATTTTGTGCTGTGAAGATCCCTGGCTCGTCAGCGTGTGACGTAGCAAATCTCAGTATGGGCTGAAGAACATAGTACTATTGTCAAATCTTAATTTGAGTACCAGACGTTGCAGGCTCATACGGGCAGACCACACACAATATAACAGCCAGGAACATGATTATGGTATCTGACAACGTTTCTGGTTAACACGTGATGTTCGGCCAATGCTGTTACGAGGACCAGTAATGTCTGCTACGAAATCGGTGCCAATCGTGTTTCTGTTGCAGGCTGATCGCTCCGCACCCCAACACTTACACCTACAGCAAAAGGCTGGCGGAACGACTTATTAGCAGTCAGTTTCCTGATTTGCCGGTCGCTGTGGCAAGACCTGCTATTGGTACGTTCAATTATACCAGAGAGTCTAACTGACGTGTTTCAGCCAGAAGTTTGGGGTAGGACAAACAGGAGCATCCACTGACAGTTCTTGGTGATTTCGGATACACTGGTTCTTCATAGTTTCTGACGTGCCTCAACACAGAATAGCTACTGTTTCATTAGGCTTCTTTACGAAAATGTTATGTTTTCTGCCACGTCTAATTTAAATCCTCCAAGAAAACATGTAGGAATTTTAGAGTACATGCAGTGTGAGCGGTGTGAATTTTAGATGGCAACTTACTTAGAGGTAACTTACACTCGCCTAAAGCAATTTAATTCCATGGAGCAGTGTTTATGAAACACTCACAATCGGTCATTTATTTAAGAATTCTCCATCATTTATGGATCCTAAAGGTTTATAACTGCATTCTCAAAAACCCTTAATTGGATCCTGTTTTTAGCTAAATGAATCCAGTGAACTCACTCACGTACTATTTCCTTAGTATCCTTTGTTAATACTATCCTCGCATTTGCCCACTCGTCTACCAAATGGCGTATTTTATTCCACTTTTCAGACAAAAATCGCAAATCATTTTCTCTTCCTTATATGCCCCGCTCACTTCATATGCATCATTTGATCATCCTCGTAACGAGATGTGGGTTGAGATGGCAGCGAGCTTGACGCTGAGATTTGCTGGTTGCAGTGACCCCGACGTGGAAAGAACCCATGCCCGGCTGGGTAGACAGTCTGAACGGTACCATCGGACTGCTGGTGGGGGGTGGCAAAGGTGTGATTCGGTCCATGCACTGCAATGGCGAATACCAAGCCAAGGTGGTGCCAGTGGACCTCGCCATCAATTGTCTAGTGGCCATCGCTTGGCGAACAGGGACTTCTGAAAATAGGTAGGGCAATGCAGACTGTTACAGATAACTTTCTTCTGGAATGTTGCGACGTGTAGTTTGAAGTTTATCGATGTTTCAGAGGTGTTTAGTGCGTTCATCATCAGGACGATGAGTATTCATCATCCTGATGGTGGAGGTGGTGTTAGCCAGCTAGTTGAAGCGTCTGGCTGGCTAACGATGCATTTTATCTGATCGGTTCGACTGAACCATGAAAGTAGGACAGAAGACTTCTAATTTTTCATTTTTCAGAGTATTTGCCGAGCTGACGCAGTTAACTTGAACGATATGTATCTTAATTTCTTTTGTACACGTACAGAGCGTTGGTACTTTTGTGCTACAGATTGAGCGAGATTCCCGTGTACAACATTACATCATCCGATGTGAATATCGTCACTTGGCGTGAGGTGTTGGACAAAGGGCGTAAGGTGGTGCACGAAAACCCCTTCGAGATGACGATCTGGTACCCTGATGGCAACATCCGCAATAGCAAACTAATGCACAACCTCTGCGTCATCTTCCTTCACTTCCTGCCTGCGTACTTCATAGACTTCCTGCTCCTCATATGCGGACAGAAACGCTTGTAAGTACACTTTATAATGGAAGAAAGAGAAATATAACGTTTACGTGGATTCTCATCTTCACGTCTAATTTTGTCACTAAAGCAGAGTCCTTGAGAAGCTGATAATCGCTCACATTTTTAGAAATATCAAGGCCTTTATGATATCTGACATTGCATTAGACCCTACCATATTCAAAAGAGCCCACCACTGGTCCTCATCCTTAAGCCGTATTTCTTTAAGATGCGGTTCCTAGAGGAATACGGCGATGAGTCTGAATTCTGTTTGCTGTGTTGCAGCATGGTTCGTCTGCAGCACAAGATCCAAGATGGCTTACAAGTTCTTCAGTACTTCACCACCAGACAGTGGCAGTTTCGCACTACCAATGCATCCGCGTTACAAAAACAAATGAACTCTGTGGATCGCGAGATATTCTTCACTGACACTGAATCAATGGACAATGACGAGTACCTTGTCGATACTGTGCTGGGGGCGAGGCAATATTGCCTCAAGGAACCGCTCAGCTCCCTGCCTCGTTGTAGACGTAACCTCAAAATGTAAGTCTTGACACACAGAAATATACGCGGGTAAAACACGGAATGTGTACAAAGTTTTCATATAAGCTGATTTTTTTTTGAAGATGATTCATCGCCCTGATGACGGAGGTAGTATGACCTCTGAAACGTTGGTTAACATCGACCATACTACACAGCGCAACAACCCAGAAGACAGAAATCTTCATACTCACCGCTGTGAAAACCTCGAATCTTACATGATTTTGTGTAATTGGGTTCATGTGGAGTATTTTTCCGAATATCTTAATTTTTTCTGTGGTCTGATAATTTAACAGTGATATACATAGGCCCATTTGAGAACACGATTAGAAAAATGTAAAATGGATTCGGTTGGTTTAGAATACGATCCAGTGATGAGTTTTTTTTCGACATTTATCTCCATTAGTTTTCTTTTCTTTCAGAACGTATTAGGGGAGACAGGCACAGAGGCGTGGTGACATCTGTCCTTATAAAATATCAGAGATATAAATATAATTATGCCTGTGTTCACAGCCTGTATGTCGTGGACCGAGTGTGGAGCGCAATATTCTACTTGTTACTTGCCTGGGTGGTCTTCACGTGCTTCAAGACCACGCATCGCCTGTTAGATATTGACGTCTACTACATCAGTAATATGCCTATGGTACGGAGTTTGATAGCTCTCAGCGACGTGTAACACCCAATATCAGCATTGGTCATTTCACGGCACTGCATCAAACGCAAAGGTTGTTTTGCGTCATTTAAGAAACTTCTATAATTCTCAGTACATGGAAAAAGAAAACACTTATAGATGCTTTGTTTGGTTATTTAACGATGTTTTATGAACTGTGGACGTAACATCGCACAGATTAAATGATGGGCGGTAGGGAAATTGTGGGTTGGGTAATTCACTGGAAAGTTGCTTAGACGACTTAAACCATTATCTTCGAGTTTCTGTAAGGGAATCAAATGGTGTGAGATAATAACCTGATACTCGCTTGGAGGATCTGAGTAAAACTGTGGTATTTGGGGTATATGGGTAGAATTGTAAACTGGATTAAACCTGCCTTCAAAACGACTCAAAATATAAGCTTTAAATTCTTGTGTGCTTTTAATTTTAAGAAAACTGCTACAGCTAATGACTCGTTAAGTTTCCTGACCTGAGTTTATTTGTGATGGTGGGATATTCTATACGGTCTGAAACCGATAACTAAGCCAGCAGAGGGGACCAAAACACAGAAAGTAATCGTAAATTTACGTTTAATAATTTGTGTTTAACTTTAGGGAAGGGAAAGATACATCGTTTTTGTGACTCATATAGGCAGAAAATAACAGAGAATTTATATTAAGTTGCTTCTGTTTTCAGTTTAACCTGTTTACACATCAGTATGTTTTAAATTCTGGATTAATATTTTCTCTACACACAAAATGCATAATATAGCCTACATAATCTTGTCTTAATGAATTAAGAAATTTTAAACTCAGAGCAAGAATATTTGTATATTGCACTGTACATCATAGTCGTACGTAAAGAATCGGTTAACACAGAGTGATACCCCCCCCCTCCCTAACATTATAACCAAATTCCAGCCTCGGTCTCCCACGGCGTCAAGGCTTTGTGAATCCATGTTCCATAGATGGGGGATTAGACTATCACAAGGCCTCTGATATTAATGAAGCAGCTTCTTTTCTGCAGTCCGAATCACAAACCTCGTGTGGTTTTCACCACGCAGTTTCAATGTTTTACTAAAAAGACTGGCATTGATGTTTGTTGACTGTTCGGTTAAGCGTTTATATTGCGTTGAGTCTTATCTGGAGCTGATTTGTTAATTTCATGGCCCAGTCAATTTACCCTCTAGAAGGATCCTCCGGTACCCTTTGTAGAGGAGTGTGTGTGGGCCCCAGACCTGGTCCGGATGCGGGGGGGGGGGGGAGATAAATCTCTACCCCTATCGATAATCAAAGCCCGGTATTTCAGTCCATAGCTTTGTCACTATTCTGATTGAAGGTGATGCATATAATTTAATTACGGCCAAATAAAAATACTCATTAGGGAATTTATGTCACTACATTCAGTGGCTTATTTTCACGAAAGGTAAGTTACGCAAATGAGTCTGTACGTTCTACTTATTTTGTCGGACATCACATCCTGCGAGAATCCTTCTTTTGAAATTTGGAAAAATACAGACTTGTTTAAGTCTCTCCAGGCGACAACCGGAGCAGTACCTTCAATGGCCCAAGGTCACCTCCTTTTCACTTTATTTTTTACTATGTAACCTTTCAAATTAAAAAGGCGCTGTTAATCTTCTACCAGTTACTGAAGTAGCAAATAGACTTACGATGAAAACCAAACAACCTGTGAAATCAAGACTACAATATTACGAGCTGATGTACTGAAAAGTTGAATTTTATTTGAAGACCATTCTCGATTTATGGATATGATTAGAGTTAATGTGAGACAGTAAGTATCGTAAGGATGCACGCTTTTCTTATTCGTAGCTTCAGATTAATTTGGCTGGAAAATATATTACAGGCAATTGTAAGATTTCGTATTAATATGCTACATATAATACAGTCTCACAACATTAGTGTGACTTCGACTGCATATTATTATACTATTTTAGTTATATAAATCCAAAATGATAGCTCTAGATAGGAATGCGGACTGCGCTGGCTAGAACCTAGAACCTCTCTTTCGAAGACCAGTTACACGCCATTACTGATGATCTAAATTAAATGTGAATTCACATTTTGGTCTTCTGGTTTATTGTCATACTCAAGACCACAGTCTGAACATTCTTTCTTTCTTTCTTTCTTTCCTTCTTTCTCTTTTACCCTCTTTTACCCGTAGGTGTCGAGGTTTTTTTATTTATTCATTTTGATCTATTTGGACAATGGTAGGACTCCTTGGATGAGTGATCAGCCCGACGCAAGGCCTCTACCTACACAAACACAGAAAGACGCGGACAAACATCCATGGCTTGAATGGGACTCGAACCCACGGTCCCAGCGGCCAGGAGCACGAGGTCCATGCCTCAGACCGCGTGGCCACTGCGTCCAGCGTATGAATATCAAAAAGTTCAAATGTAAAGTTGTCCCTACTGGTACATTCCTGTTAAGCCTGAAGACGTATTTGACATTGGAGGTGCCATTCCTCTTTTCTTGACGTCGGCATCGCGTGAAGGTGAGTGGTCAGCTGCACGCCCTGGCCGAATTACCCCAGAGGAATTGGTTCCCGGGACTCGGTGAATAGGAGGCTGGATTGGACGCAGAGACGATCTGGACGCCGAGTCTAAAAGACAATGAAAATTGGCCACCAGTTTTGAAAAATTAGGTTTTCCTGGTCCTTGGGGTCCAACGGAAAAAACTATTCTTGGCTCGAGATAAAACAGTTGTACCACCTTTGAATAACTATGTATGTGTGTAGATGAGGGACATCTTCACCACGCCGTGTTGTGTTATGAGAAAGCACGATGTTACATACGACGTAGTCGTAAACATTAACGCCTCTCTGTAGGCAATGTTTTGTTGATGGTTGCGACATAAGGATCACCAGTGAATAAAGGTCACGGTCGTTTCGTTGAGTGCATGTGAATCCAACAGGATTTACAGAGACGTGCATTCATTTCCGATGGCTCACAAGTAATTTAAAGACGCCATTTCAGCGCAAGAGTTTACCGTAGTGCACACGACATTAAGTAGAACAGACCAAAATAGCAGAAGTCGAAGTCTTAAACACCGTCAATGCACAAGCCCGTCGTTTTTATTCATTTTCTTTCTCTCTTTTTTATGAATTTATTTCCTTTATTTCGTGATTTACTCTCCTCCGTTCTGTCATTTTTCTTCTTTTATCTGTTTTTGTGTCTTCCATTCTTTCTAAAAAAAATTATTATTTGTTTACCTTCTTTATCTGTTCTCCTATATTTTTTCGTTCCTTTTCTTTTTTTCCTTTCTCTTCATTTATTTCGTAATCTATTCTTTATTTAGCTTCCTTTACTGTTCTTTTCCTCTCTTCACGTTTTCACTTGTTTCTTTCCGTCCGTTTCTTGATTATCATGTTTTCGTGCCTTTCTGTCTCATTTTAATACATCGACAATAAATTAACAACTGCGTAATAACAGAAGTGGGAGCCATGGATTATGTAATAGAATGTATGTGAGGGTACTACGACTTAAAGTAGACAAATGGATCCTATTTGATTGCAGGAAAGCAGCACCGGCAGTATTCAAGGTACATTATTATTAATTGCTGCTTGTAGTCAGTACACTTTCTGAATCCCAAACACTGTGTAACACAGGTCTTCTGAATCACGTAATCATGTGACAACACGCGCTACATCGCCTGTGTTGTCACTTGGAACAAGAAAGCTGCAGTTTGTCAAGACTTCGTATTGTCAGATGATTATAAATAATGAATTTAAATTAATAATAAAATCTGTTTCTGGATAGCCGGTCTAAGTACTTAGATTTTAACTCATATCTCTATAATACGAAGCAGAAGTGCCAACCATTGCACCTGAAATTTTTAACCTATCTCATAGTTTGATTGCAGACATGTTGCGTCATCTGTCCGGGAAGACTGACAACTCCTAAAGAATTAAT